CCCCCCCCCCCCCCCCCCCCCCCCCCCGAGGCTCAAGCCAACTCTAAACTCCACTGGATTAGGGAGTGATAACATTTTATTCCACACTTTCCAGCTGGAATCAAATTTTATCGAATAATTAAGGATTTTTACTCCAACCTCTGACGCAGCTGGCACTTGGAGCTATGCTACACCCGTTGCCTCAGTATCCCTTCGGACTCAGAAGAGGAGCTCAGGGTCCGGCCTGATCACCAAACTCCAAGTTACCTGAGCTCGGGGCGCTTCGTCCCCAGCCCGCCTGCTGCAGACGTACTGAGAGTAGTTGCTGCTGGCTCCGGCGAGAGGCAGGGCCCCGACGCTCGGGCTTGCCCTTGGCCGGCCCCAAGGTTGCGGCCACCGGCGGAGACATCGAGAGAGGACACGCAGCGCCATCTTGGAAAGGATTCTGTTTCCAACGTGTAGCGCGGCGGCTGCGGCAAGGTCAACAACACCCATGCGCGGCCCGGCCTGGCCCGCCCCTGAGCTCCACACCTACCGCCGTATGTGGCGCTGTCCGTGGAGGGTATGCAGTCTGACGACTCAGCAGCTACTATGGAACTTATCTACCTTTGTGGAGATAGTGATACAACCAAGTTAACTCAGTGTGGAGGTATGGATCATTGTCCAGACTCCAAGGATTCCTACCTCTGAGTCAGAACCTCTGGATAAGGTTGATCAAAATAGATACTCCAGATTTTAATTTTCTTTCTGTCACTTAGCTGACTGTTCGTATTGCTTGCATATAGAGAGATCTGTCGGGTGATACTCTGGCTTGTAATGAAAAGCCCTTCTTTAATAATCAAGGTAGGGGCGGTAGTGGTGTATTCACTAGTCTAGTGACAAGGCTACTAATCTCGAAACACAGACCAATGTTCTGGAGGCAGGGGGTTCAAGTTACTACGATCTAGAATTGAAGGCTAGTCTCCGTAATGGTGCCACGAAACTAAAATATTCTGGTTCGTGGATGTCCTTTAGAAGAGGAAATATGCCGTTCTTACCTAATCTGGTCTACACGTGACTCTAGAACCACAGTAATGCGGATTACTCTAAAGTACCCTCTGAATTGGCTCAACATACACTCAGTTCAAGAGGAAATACTGGCTTTATGCCATCTACATCTGTGAGAAAATAAAGAAGAAATATGTTCTAACTTCAACATTCCTCTTTGACCAAAAGTTAACAAATGTCCCACTGATTGTTTCTTCCAAAGATGGCATAAACTTTTTGCTCAAGTGCAATCCTGCCATGGGCCACAAGATGGCAGTGGATTGTAGCCCACAGAGAAGCAGGCGCATTTGCTATCTTTACAAGGGGTTCCGTGCCGCATAAAGCATATGCATCCAACATTTTTATAGGGGGTAAGTGCAGCAGGAAACTGCAGTGCACCACCATCTTTATAGGAGGCAATGTACAACAGGAAGCGTGTACAGCTATCATTTTATAGAGCATCCTGGCAGATTGTCCAGAACTGTTCCATAATTTTCCTTTCTACCTGGCGTCCCAGGTCGAGCCTTCTGAGACTCATTTTGTCCTGAGTTACTTCTTTATTTGCATTAACATGCCCCATCCTCCAGTCCATTCCTAAATCGTGTCCATAACCCCCCATGGTAAACAGCTTTTCACCCAGAATTGGTCACCCTGTCACCAACTCTTTGACTAAGTTATCTTGACTGGAATCACCTAAGTATAGGAAATGATAACTGTTTACGAATGAAGCTGCAAATTTTCTTATTTATACAATGTATTTTATCAATATAGTTTGAGAGCAGTGGTACCACAGCTTCTTAACATAACGCCTCCTTGCTTCTATACCAACCCCAGAGAAGAGAAATCAGTAAGGAAATTGGTAATACTTGGAAATGAATGTACTGGTCATACTGGAGCACTGTTTTGAGGAATACAAGACAAGTTGGACTGGTACACATCATTTGCAAGTTCTACTGGTTTGTCCGTGTGTCTCCTACCTAATTTCACAATCATGTCAGCACAATAACCACCCCCTCCCCCACCAAAAATGTTCTTTATTTATTTCTTAAGAGTTGGTTACCTGCTTTGTACAACTGACCATAAACCACCCACAGAGTGGCAAGAAAGAATACTATAATAGGATTTGATTACAAGGACTAATTTGATATGAAGACTTTTGAGAAATGACATGTAGTGAGTGTAAGTCATATACTTGGGTGGAACAGAAAGATTTTAAATATGATTCTCAAAGACCTTGACCAATGAGTTTTCTTACGTCATGTATGAATTTACTGTGGACTAATTGAGAACATGATTATTATGATTAGTAATTGATCATTGTTTTAAACATATAAAGGTAAGATTTTCTTTCCCAGGACAGCACAAGGCAAAGTAGATGGGCCTTGGCCTTTGTAAAATCTAGTAATTCCTGATACTCTGAGGCAAAGTTGGAGATGCACTCCTTTAATTGAGTAGATATCTGGAGTTCAGCTTGCTGTTGTTACAACAACAGGGAGCATAGGAGTCTGTCTATGGGTAGGCGAGCTTCTATGAAGAGGCTTAACCAGTTATAGCAACTGCGCCTTATTACCCATGGCTCCTCAGTTCTCCCTGCAGGCACAACCAAGTGTCTGCGCCATCATAACCAGGCACTGACTGCTGGTTCCCGCCTGGGTAAGGGAGGTATCTACCCTATCTGGGCCATTGACTGCACTCAGTTCACCCTCTGTAAGGCCTGGAGCTGTGCCAATGACCCCGTGAAGCTTCAGGAACAGCACATCTTCAAAACCAGAACACGGAAAATTTGAGAGATGCAAACAATATTGGCCCAATTCCCATACCCATGTGTGGTGTAGCTTTCTCCTTGTAAATTAGATCACCTGTTTGCTGAAACCATGTTTAAGTTATTTTGGGCAGATGCATGAGTATGTGTTGCTGCCTTTTGATAATTTATTTATGTTTTATTAACAGGACGTTTACGCACTTTTTAATATTCAGAGTCTATTGTTTTCTATGTTCTAAATAATGTTTCTTTGAGAACAGTTTGTATAAAGCTCATGTAAGTCAGAATAACCATCAATGAGGGCCAAGTGTACAAAAAAACAAAATAAAAACAGTGCAACCCTTGTCTTGTGCTCTTGCAGTGTGACTTTTCTTTCCCCATCTCCTGAACGAGGCGACTTGCTCTGCACAATTTGACCTTCCTCTAACCTTAATCCAAGATAAATGGTAACAAAAATTAGAGGTTTTTGTTTTAAGCATGACTTGGCCTCTGCGAAAAATTTGCAGGTGAGTCAGACTAATTGAGTTTTGTTTCCAAATGGTCGGTAAGGACATGATGGGCCGAATATGTAACTTGGGCAATTAAAATGTGCCTAAAATGTTGTCCTACTGCCAGCAGAGGGTGGTGTGGTACAGAACCCACAATGAAATGTCAGACTCGTAAACAGATCTCACAAAAAAACTGCAGAAAGACAAATATTGAAAACATTGTATTTAAGAAACTTGTTATACGGACGGTTTAAAGTGCTGTGATTGCACAGCAGAATCATGTGAATAACATATATATATATATATAAAAAAATCACCTTTTGGCAGGCATTGACCTGGACACATAAACCTGTTAACTTGACGTATCAACTGTGCCTCACATTTGCTGAGACAGTTATGGCTCCAAGCTCTAAAATTCCAGTACAAAATCCAAGTGCACTGGTTTAGATGTTGTAAACTGAGATCTTTGTCCTTTCAGCTGAAAAGCACCATTTCTAGAAAAGCAAGGGGGCTGTTCTTTGTCTTCCTCTCCAGCTTGATATTTAACATTCAAACATCACATTGTTCATTAATCTCATCAGTGTGGTAGACTGCTGTTTTCCCAGAACAGTGACTACACTAGTAGTACTTAACATCCTGAAGTGTTTTGCAGGTATTTCCGAGGTTGTGAAAGACGTTATCTTGATCAACTCTGTTCGGAGCAGGCATGACCTGATTTGAATGGTCAAAGTATCACTTAATCTACTTGGATCTCTGTGTTCATTGGGTGATGCTGAAGGGCATGCTGTTATAACACAACAAATAATCCAGACAACATGATTGGAAAATAGCCATGGTAGTTTTTAGAATTTGAATTTAGCTTAAAAAGAAACTGAGTAAATAGTTGATATCAGTAAACATTTCTGAAACTTGTGTTACAATAAAATGCATATTAACTTCCGATAAATTACTTAAGAGTCATAGAGCACGGAAACAGACCCTTCAGTCCAACCAGTTCATGCTGAACATAATCCCAACTAAACTAGTCCCATCTGCCTGCTTCTGGCCCATATCCCTCCAAACCTTTCCCATTCATATATCCATCCAAATGTCTTTTAAACATTGTAATTGGACCTGCATCCACCACTTCCTCAGGAAGTTCATTCCACATGCAAACGACCCTCTGTGTTAGAAATTTGCCTCATGTCTTTTTTTGAAATCTCTTTCCTCTCATCCGCAAAAAGCGTGTCCCCTAGTTTTGAGGTTCCCCATCTTAGGGAAAGGACAATGACCATCAACTCTATCTATACCTCTCACTATTTATAAACTTCTATTTAGTTACCTATCAACCTCCTACGCTCCAGTGAAAGATGTCCTAGCCTCTACAGCCTTTCCTTATAACTCAAACCTTCCACACCCAGCAACATCCTGGTAAATCTCTTCTGAACCCTCTCCAGCTTGATAATATCATTCCTATAACTGGGTGACCAAAATGGGACACAATATACCAGAAGAGGCCTCACCAATGTCTTGTACTAACCTCAAAATAACGTCCCAACTCCTATACTCAAAGGCCAAACGGCTTTGGGGAGGTGATAGCCTAGTGGTATTATCACTTGACCATTAATCCAAAGACCCAGATAACGTTCTGGGGACCTGGATTCAAATCCCGCCATGGCAGATGGTAGAATTTGAATTCAATAAATATCTGGAATTAAGAATCTAATGATTACCGTGAATCCATTGTCAATTGTCAGAAAAATCCATCTGGTTCACTAATGTCCTTTAGGGAAGGAAACTGCCATCCTTACCTGGTCTGGCCTACATGTGACTCCAGACCCACAGCAATGTGGTTGACTCTTATCTGCCTTCTGGGCAATTAGGGATGGGCAATAATGCTGCCTATCCTGTGGCACCCTCATCCCATGAATGAATTTTTTTAAAATCCTGACTATATGTGATACAAACTTTAAAGAATTATGTACCTGCACCCCCAGGTCCCTCCGTTCAACAATGCTACCCAAGGACCTACCATTAATTATATAAGACCTAGCCTTGTTTGTTGTACCAAAATGCAGTACCTCACATTTATCTAGATTGAACTCCATCTGCCACTTTTCAGCCCATTGACCCATGTGATCAAAATCCCTTTGTGATCTTGGAAAACCTTCTTCACTGTTTACAATGCCACTAATTTTGATGTCATCCGCAAACTTAATAACCATGCCTTCTACTTCCTCAGCCTAATCATTTATATAAATGACAAACAAAAGAGGAACCAGAACCGATCCCTGTGGAACACTGCTGGTCACAGGCCTCCATTCGAAAAGCAACCCTCCATCATTATTCTCTGTCTCCTGCCGTTAAGCCAATTATGTATCCAGTTGGCAAGCTCATCCTGAATCCCATGTGACCTAACTTTACTAATTAGTCTACCGTGTGGAAATTTGCCAAATGCTTTACTAAAATCCAAAGAAACAATGTCTACTGCTCTGCCATCATCAACCTTTTTGGTAACTTCCTCAAAAAAATCAAATGTTTGAGAGACACGATTTTCCTCGCATAAAGCCATGCTGACTATCCCTAATCAATTCTTGCCTCTCTAAATGTCATAAATCCTATCTTTTATAATCACCTCCAACAACTTACCCATAACCGAAGTCAGACTCACACGTCTGATATGGTAGGATGTAATCCAAATACGAATATAAATCATACCTATGTGTCCTACCCATTTCACATATTGCAAAAAAATTCTAATAACTCAGCGTTGGGCTCACTCCTTCAAGATTTCTGTATCCCTCTAATTGTGGGCTGTAATGCCTCCCAAATTTTAATCATTCCACTAGTAGCCAGACTTTCTGTTGCTGAGGTACTAAGATCTAGAATTTCTCTTTACGAACCACTTTTCTGCACTAAGACAATCCTTAAAGCGACCTTCCTCACCAGCTTAAATATTTAACGTAGGTCAGTGTCAAATTTTGCAAAGTTGCTTGGTATCTTCGTCAGTGGCATTAAATAAATGTTCTTGTTATGATTCCATACTTTAAAAAAATGCCTTTTCTAATCTTCAGTATAGACAAAACATTCAAACAAGCTATTCTGTAAGCTTTGAAGAGGTAGGCAAGTGTAATTTGTAGCAAGTCATCCCTTTGCCCAAGTCCTCATTTATATTTCATAGAATCATAGAATCCCTAGAGTGTGGAAACAGGCCATTCAGCCCAACATGTCCATAACGCCCCTTCGAGGAGCATCCCATCTAGACCCATTCCCCTATCCCTGCATTTCCCTTGTCTAACCCACCTAACCTAAACACCCCTGGGCACTATGGGCAATTTAGCATGGCCAATCCACTTAACCTGCGCATCTTTGGACTGTGAGAAGAAACCGGAGCACCCAGAGGAAACCCACACAGACACGGGGTGAATGTGCAAACTCCACACAGTCACCTGAGGCTGGAATTGAACCTGGGTCCCTGGCGCTGTGAGATAGCAGTGCTAACCACTGAGCCACCGTGCCGCCCTAAACTGCACATCTTTGGACTGTAGGGAGAAACCAGAGCACCCAGAGGAAACCCGCACAGACACGGGGAGAATGTAAGACTCCACACAGGCAGTCACCCTTGGGTGGAATCAAACCCAGGTCCCTGGTGCTGTGAGGCAGCAGTGCTAACCACTGAGCCACCATGCCTTAAATCCCAATAAATCAGTAATCTCAAAGAAGAAATCTTCAATACACGTGGGACTTGTCCCTCGAAAGTGCAGCATTACAAGCACAAACTCATTATATTGCTGAAAACACCAACAGACTTATTTTATACATTGTATCCTGTGATGCAGGATAACAATTGTAAGGTATGAAAGCATGACAAACAGGAGTGAAGGAAATCAGAGGATGATTTAGTATGTATTCAGGTAATCTTAGTTACACAGTGAGCTTGATTTAAATATTTTTCAAAAAAGCATTTTCGAAACGTAAGGACTGAAGCTGAATACGAAGCATTTATTTTAGGTAGTCATAGACGCTGTATTTCCAGAATTTAAGTTTTTAGTGTTTACAATTTACTCTTTGTTTCAAAGAAGGGGTTTGAAATATGTACAAATTTATACACCTATTGTTATAATTCCTCTTATTATTCTTTGTATGTAGTGCATTTACATTTTTCATTTTGTAATTCTTTCCACGCTGGGTCTCATCTCCAGTCAGAAGCTTATAAAAGACCAAATCTTGGATCTTTTATTTTTGCCTGAGGGAGTATTTAGGTTCAAAAACAAAGTTGCTGGAAAAGCTCAGCAGGTCTGGCAGCATCTGTGAAGGAAAGAAAACAGAGTTAACGTTTCAGGTCCAGTGGTCCTTCCTCAGAACTTCTCAGGAAGGGTCACTGGACCTACAACGTTTACTCTATTTTCCAGCAACTTTGTTTTTGTTCCTGATTCACAGCATCTGCAGTTCTTTCGGTTTTTATGAAGTATTTAGGTTCTTGGTTTCAAACCTCTTGCAAAAGTCAACAGTTCTTCAGTAGAGCCCTCAAGTATCAGCATAGTTTTCTGAGCTCAGGTTTCTGAAATGGACTTGAACCAACAACCAACATAGCTCTAACTGATAAAACCAGCAGCTGGGAACGGTTCCAGATTTTTCCTTTAACATTCTTCCAACTGTTCACTGCCTGTTCAAAAGCTGGTACCTCTCCACCCTCAAAGTATTAATTCAGGACCTGCAACCAGAATTGTCCAATCATACACCACTATAGATGTTATGACAATTGTCAACAAAAACAAACAGCTTGAAAATCCCAAACTATCCACAACGTATTTCCAACTTGTTGACAAGACAACCGATATCCTCCATATCTAGTCTTTTAGGTTGGTGGGCCTGCAATCACTGCAGGTAAGTACTTGCTTATATCCATATTGATTGTTCTATGAACACTTCATTTTGATCAAGTGAGCTAGAGTTCTTGATGCTGTTCTACTAGTAAGTTGTGACTAGTGATAATTAATTTTCTAATATGAGAGGAAGCAAGGATGTTTTCTAGCCACTCTACTCACATTTCTTGGGACATTTTAAATGATGTTCCTTTCAATGACATTGCAGCTACAAAGCTTTGCCTAGATCAACAATACCTGTTCGTAGACAGCTGCACAATTGAAGGTGACTGGCCACATGGATGAAGACAGCTTGTGAGCTGTAACACAAGTAATTCCAAACACTTTGAGCAGGTAGGTACTGGAAAGCTCAAAACTCAGGTAGCTATTTTGCTGACTACCATAGGAGGAACTGCTCCAGACTGCAGTATACTATGCAACATTGAAGCATTCAGATTAAGAACTCTGCACCACAGTTTATTAGGCAGTTTATGAAAGACATTACTTCTTAACCAAATTAGTGTTTGTGTACAGAATGGACTGGTCAACTATCTTTTATTACTGGTAAAGAGCTGTGATTTACTGCTGTTCTTATTCATATGTTTACACTCAAATGATTGGAACAAGATATTTGATGATTTCCCCTTACTCCTTCAAAGCTGTAAATCCTAAATTAACAATAATGTCTTTCAACATGTGAAGATAATGCAAATGTTTCCACCTGATATTCTCAGGATCTAATTCCATTAACAAAAAAATTGTGAAAATGAGTAAGAATGACCTTTGCAGTGTAAAACTACGACACAGGAAGTTCACAATGCTTTTCCCGAATCACCCAGAACTGAACATTTGGAAAGAAAAGTGGTGTCTAATACTCGCCTAAACGTATAAAAGGCGATTCTCTATATTGTCCACTAGGTACCCTCTGAACATTTTGCTGAAATAGGCCAGTCCAGATTTCATATTCTGGCTTTCCCCAATAGCAATAACAGACACTATACAACAGTTCAATACATCAATACAAATTGTAGTACAACTTTACATAGTACACAGGAAACAAAAGTAATCATCTTTGCACTGCAATGTTTTGTTCTACAAACATATTATTTGGTGTTTTCATTCAACTGATAAGATAAAAAAGTTTCAAATAAATAAATAGACTTTGAAGCCACTTTCTTGCATCAATCTTGATGCAGTAATACCATCATACGTCATTCAATCTAGCTCCCATATATTTATAGATATACACAGTTTGGTCATTCTTTCTGGCCAGGAGGCAGGAATTGGCTTCTGCCCAGTGGAAAAGTGACCAGAATGCATTGGGGCCATGGTGTAGAACAGTCGAGATGTGGCCAGAAAGTACATCCCAAAGAATCAGGGTTCCAGGGGTTACAATTGCTGCAATTGACTGGTCTTTCACACCTCCAACAAGGTACCTGTTCCAAAAATAAATACATTTAAAAGAAAAAAACATGAGTGAAAAATAGCTGTTCATCACTGCTGCTGTTAGTGAGCTAAGTGAATAAAAAACTGCAGCATAGTCTCCCTACTTTGAGCTTGGAGCAGTTATTTTAATCTAACATATCCAGCAGGACACCAAACACATTGGATCAGGAACTTATTTTACACCTCTGCCCAATTTTAATTTCCTTCAAATTCAAAGTAGAGTAAAGTTAGATTGACTGAAAAATCAGGAAGGCCAATTAGATTCCCCCAGTGGAGGGTGGTTAAAGTGGCCTCTTGTACAGCTTTGATTATTTAAGATGTAATGCAGTGGGATGTGAGTCATCAGATGGAGTCTCATTTGTTTCTGTCATCTAAATTAGAGCTTTGTATTGCTGGATACGTAAACATCTGACTGGTTTGTCCAATAGCTCTGCTGCTTACATAGCAAAATGGAGGTTGGTAAAAAATTACCACAAAGAATCTGATTGTAAAATGGAGGCTGAGGATGATGGTTGATATTTGACACACGACTGGATTCTCACTCTACATAATTCTGGATCCACATATCTCATATAGATAGCCTTACTATATGACTCTGATTCACAGAATTGACAAGAGTTTTCTTGGAAAGCTTACTTGTTTAATCGTGCACCAAACTGAGGAGGATGGCGCCTAAACAGTAACCTTTTTCTGAACAGCCGAATTAGAACATGCATACAATGAAGACATCCCAACTAATCCCCTGTTGTGATCTGCTAACTTAACAGATAGAGGATTGAATCAGAGAACTTCGAGTTTGCACAGCTCCCTAACACCAAGGATTGAGTGGCACCTTCCCAATGAAGGAGGACATTGATGTATATGCAGTATAGAATGCATCTTACCTTCCATGGCATTCCTGTGGAAGCATATATGACATGACAGGTTTACTTTTACCATTCATAGGATTGACACCAACCATTCTTAAAACACAGATTCTATTTCCACCAGATCTATCACAAGTGCCAACATACCGATGAGTTAGGAGTATGAACAATATGCCCTAAAACGCAAAAATAATAAAAATAAAATAAATGATTAAATAAATATTTTACTTTGAAAAGGACTATCAATCTATACTTTGCAAATTTTTACTGCTGCTTTAGAAAGTGCGATCATAATTCTGTCCAATTATAGTTAGAGCCCCCGCTTTATGGTAGGTAAATTTCTATATTACTACTATCATTGCTCCGTACATGATATTCTGTAAGTTCTGCATTCTTCTATTTTCCAGTAAAATTCATAAAGTGGTAGCCTTTATCAATTGAATTGGGACAGAAATGCAGCTCCAAAGATAAACAGACTACAAATTCTAAAAATATATGCAAGACAGTCAGCATTTTTACGCTAGGGAAAACAGGTTTCAGGTATCAAACCTGTTCAAACCTCACATTTATCAGAGGACTGATATGCAAACGTTAACTTGCCTTTTAAAATCTCACTGATGCACTAAGTCCTTTTGTAAATTTTGAGTAATTACTGCAAGTTATTTAATCAAGTGGTTGACCAGTCAACTGGTCCAGACCTCGTAAAGTTCTCACTTACCAACACTGCAAAAGTGTGTAAATAAATAATTATTGTTCATCCAAGGTTGTGAAGACTGCACCATAGGTGTATGTCCATATGCACAGTTTATTCAAAGCAAACAGGCCATTTCTGCTGAAGAGAATTTATTTATTTATCCATTTTCTAATGGGATGTGGGCATCATTGGCTTGGCCAGCATTTTTGCCTGGCGGGGAGTTTAAGTCAACAGCAATCCACAATTACTGTGGACCTGGAGCCACATGTAGGTCAGACCAGATAAGGATGCCTTGAAGGGCATTAGTGAATTGGATGGGCTTTTACAACAATCTACAATGGTTACATGGCATCATTGGGCGAGCTATTTATTCCAGATTTTATTAAATTCATATTTCACTATCTGTTATGGTGAGATTTGAAACAATGTCTGCAGACCTGCAACCTGGGGTGCTCAAATATTTGGAATTTTAAATTAAATGTCTATTGTTATTTGCTCTAAACACCAGCCTTCCATGAATTAAATATCCAGAAAGCTCACTCCTATAGCTGACAAATAGCTTCCAACTCTCTAAGACTGGCATTTACTTTTCCAACATGTGTCATTAAGTTTGCATTTACATGTAACGTGATGTTATTTTTGAGCCCTGGATATGGCTAAATGGGAGCAAGCTACATTTGCCAATTAAAACTCTTACAACCAAACCCACATTTACTTCCATTAATCTGAACTGGAAGCAGAGGTGAAGGGTAGTGCTAGGACATTGGCACTCTCCCTCACAAAGCACACCCTTTCAAAACAAACCACACTTCACGTAGTATTTCATTTACTCCATGGTCCCGTCTGTCTTTAAATATATAATGCAATATAAATTCTGTTCTGAAAATCTGTCACTGTCCTTTCCTGGAAGTAGATATGTCATATGAACATGCAAATTAGGAGCAAAATAGGCCACTCAGCCTCTTGAGCCCAATTTGCCATTCAATAAGATCACAATTATTTTGATTACTCCGCATTCCCAGCCACCCCTATAATCTTTCACCCTTTTGTTTATCAAGAAGCTATCTGTCTCCAGTTTAAAAATATTCAAACATTTTGCTTCTACTATCTTTTGAGGAAGAGCGTGCCAAAAATTTCCTTACTTTGAAGCAATTATTCCCAGTTCTAGAATCTCCCACAAAAGGAAACATCCTCTTCACATGCAGTCTGTCAAGACCCCTGAGGATCATATGTTTCAATCCTGTCACCACCCATTCTTCTAAACTCCAGCAGATACGAGCATGCCTGTGAAAGCTTTCCTTACAAGGCAATCACCTATTTCTGGTATTAGCCTAGCAAACCTTCTCTGAACTGCACAAGCTAGTAGCCTGAGACATCACAACCTTCAGCAGTTAAAAACATTAAAAAAATTCCTCCTTACAGACTCTGAATAGGCCTTCTGGCAGACAGTGCCCGGGTAACTTTCACTTAAGTGGATTTTCTTCAGAAGATGTCCAGTCTTTAAGTTCCTGAGAGATAAACAAAAGTTAATCTGAATAGAGTTTCCCTCCTGACTAACACTATCTGAATAGTTTCATATAGGAATCATTAGAAGAATGAGGCAAAACAGAGAAAATAAGGACGAGAGTTGAGCATAACAGAGGCTGTGGCAAGATTTAGATTAAAACACCTTCAGTAGTTTAAAGAATGCTTTTGTATTGAGAATCACCATTTCTGTCAGAAATGTTCAAGTATCTTCAAATACCTTTTATTCCTTTTAAGTATATCGGTGTATTCGATGTGGCAATTTTATTCGCACAGCAAAATCCTTCAACAGCAGTGTGTTAAGGACCACTTTTTAAACAGTATTGGTTCAAGGAGGAGTGTTGGTCTACCTTTTTGGAAAGTTCATTGATGTTTACGTGCAGATGGCTGCGTATGAAATAGGAGCAGAGTAGATCACTCATTCCCTGAGCTTACTCCTCAGGTGAATTTGATCATGGTTGATCCATTTGTGTTCTGAATTTTCATTTACCCTCAATAATGTTTGGTTGATCCATTTGTGTTCTGAATTTTCATTTACCCTCAATAATGTTTATTTCCCCTGCCTAACAAGAATCTATCCACCTCTGTCTTAAAAATATTCAATGACCACACCTTTTGAGGAATATGATGCTGTAGCAATGATATGGATTGGGCTCAAAAAAAGCAGAACTGGGTACAAGAGATGCCTAATAAATGGCGTTCAGAGAATAGGAAAGGTTTAAAAATGTTGTATGACAGTGTTGTCTAAACAGAGTATTGTTGAAAAGAGAGAACTGTTGCTGAAGTTCTTTTTGTCTTGCACTAATCAGGACAAACAGAACAATACCAAATTTCAAATGGCCACACCAATTTATACGACAGAAGTCAAGGGGTGCTATGTGGTTGGTAGGTCAACTCTGACTGGCCGAGGTTTCAGGCTCCCACACCTCTATATAGTTCAAAAGTCTGAGGGTTGAACAAATTTCTTTTGTTAGCAGGGAATGAATTATTGTGTTTGAATATTTGATGTTTCTAGCAAGCATAAATGAACCATGTTATAAATTCAACTGGTTAGCTTAAATTGGTTGCTAATCTGAGTATTGGTGCACTTGAGATTGTTTAACTAACAGAACATCCAGGATTGTTAAAAAAAAGTGCTGTCCAAAGGCAGAATTACATCTACCAGGAGACATTTTGTTTTAAGTTTCGAAAAAGGGTGATATCATCTGTAAGAGGTCTTCCATTATTATGACATAGAAGGAAACAGTAGTGGTATAAAGAAAGGAGGACATTTCTGTAACGTATTCAGGAGAATTTTCACGAGCAGTGCATTTTAAGCCCAACAAGAAAGCAAAAATATAAACAGAAAATGCTGGAAGCACACAGATATACTGTGGAAAGAAACAAGTGTTGAAATTATAGGCTGATGATGATCCTTCATCAGAACAAAATCAGGGGTTCTACAAATAAATTAATTTCTACAAATAAATTCAAATAAATTAAGAAGGTGTGGAATTGATTAAGAACCAAAAAGGAGACTTACATGTGAAAGCAGAGGAAATGGCTAAACAAGCACTTTGCAGGGAAGAAGAAGATGTCACTAAAGCATTGTGAAAGAGAATGCGATTGAGATATTAGATGGGCTAAAAGTTGATAAAGCAGAGACACCAGGAAAGGCTGGCTATAATCAGATTTGCTAAATCACCAGGATCAGATTAGATGCATCCAAGGTTTCTGAAGGATGCAATGATGGAAATTTCAGAGGTACCAACTTTCCAATGTTCCTCAGATTCAGAAGTGGTTCCAGAGAATCCAGAGGACTGGAGGACTGAAAACATTACATCCTTGTTCAAAAAGGGTGCAATGATTAACCCAGCAAGGGAAGGCCTATGAAATTTAACCTTAGTGGTAGGAAAGCATTGAGAAATAATAATCCAGGATAAAATCAACAGTCTCTTGGATAAGTTTAGATAAAGGAAAGCCAGCATGAATCTCTTAAAGGCAAATTGTTTTCAACCAATTTAGTTAAGATTTTTCATTAGGAAACACAGGTCAATGAGGATAATACACCTTCTGTAGTGTATGTGGACTTCCAAAATATATTTGGCAACGTGCTATATAATAGACTAGTCAGCAAAGTTAAAACCTATGGAATAAAAGAGAAATAGGTAGCACGGATACAAAGTTGGTGAAATGACAGGAAACAGAACGTACTGGTGAACTATTGTTTTTTGGACTGGAGAAAGAAATACAGTTGTCTTTCCAGGAATCAATATTAGGACCACTGAAATAAATGACTCAGACTTGAGTGTATAGTGATCAATTTCAAAATTTTCAGATTACAGAAGACTCAGAAGTATGATGAATGCTGAGGGAGATAGTGATAGACTTCAAGAGGTCATAGACAGGTTGGCAGAATGGGCAAACACATGAGAGAAGTGCTTTAAAGCAGAGATGTGAAGAGTAAGACCTTTTGTAAGGAAGAATGAGGAGAGACAATAAAAATTGAAGGATACAATTTAAAAACGGGTGCAGGAAAAGAAAGAACTGGTGGTAAATGTGCACAAAATCATGGGTGGCAAGAAGGGTTGAGGAAAAAGATTAAGAAAATATTCATTGTCCTAAGCTTTATAAATACAGGCAAAGATCACAAGAGCAAGGAAGTTATAATGAATCTTATAACAAACTGGTGTGGCCTCAACTGGAGTACTACATCCAATTCTGGGCATCTCTTTGGGAAGAATGATGGTCTTAGGAAAGATGCAGGAAAGGTTTTGAGAATGGCTGCAGGGATGAGGAAGTTCGGTTAAATTGAGAAGCTGAGGTTGTTTTCTTTAAAGAGGACTTTGAGAAAAGATTTGATTGATGCATTAAAAATCGTGAGAGATCAAGATAGGGTAGCTAGAGACAAATTGTTCCCATTGAAAGAAACGTTAAAAACCAGAGTAAACAGATTCAAAATGATTAGCTCTTTTACCAAAGGCAAGTTATTAGAATCTAGGATGCACTGCCTGAAAGGGTGATACAGATAGACCCAATACCAGTTTTCAAAAGAAAATTGGAAAGCACCTGAAGGGAAAAGTAGTTTACAGGAAAAATGGGAGGACAAACTAAACTGCATTTGCAGATAGCCAGAACAGACTCATCTGAACAAACAGTCTCCTTCTGTTCTGTAACCATTCTAAATTTCCATAGTTCTTTGGCCTTCTTCCACAGGATCTTTCAATCTGAACTGTAGCCAGTATTCAGGACCTGAGTTAATGATGCATCCAAAGGATAGAATGTACAACACAGTGGCATTTTGAGTGATGCACTTGAGTGTCAGCTCATGTCGTAGGTTGATGCTGAAAACAACAACCTTCTTACTCTTAAGTGTGAATGTTAACAAGTGATTCAAGCTGGCATCATACCTCAATATTACCTTCACTTGCTTTGAAAGACTGATTGAAAGACCAGGTAACATCAAAGAAAACCAATGTTGCTATTTCAATGAAATATGAAACAGCCAATCAGAACTTGTACAGGTAAATGTTACTAATCCTCAATGAATTTGTTGATGTACCAGACAGACAATGTGTACAGAATACAGACTTTAAGGAAAGTGAGAGAGATATGGTCCACAGATGTTTATGATCACATTGGAAATCAGTGCCATCAGACTGACCTTAAAAGTATAAACCCAAAAAAAACTTCAGTTTTTAAAAAAATTTACCATGATCTAACTGAATGTCAGAAAATATGAAGGAGGCCATTTGATCTCCTGCACATGTTTCTACTTCCGAGAGAGACTGAAAAAACGACTAGTGGAAGGGAGCAAAGGGTAAAACAGATTAGCTTAGAGCAGCTGTCCTTTCTCTCCCACTACCATTAAGATAGCAAAAAAAAGGAGTTTATGTGGGAAAGAAATAACGGTGATTGCAAGGGCAGACAGAATCAGCAAAAAATTGTATCCTGTGCACTTATTTGGCATGTTAGAGTTAGTAAAGTTACTACTGATGTTTTAGTTTATTACTTCTAGATGTTTATATTACTAATTTCAGCCTCGCTGTACAAATTAGTCACAGGAAACAGTCAGACCAGACATGGCTAAAAATGGATAAATGAATGAATTCACAAATGACTTACACATCTGATCTCTAATCCAGTTAAAGGGAATTGTGTACTTACCAAATGACAATATTGCTCATTATTGTCGATCCAATCAAAGCTTCTGCCTCCCCTTTGACTTCACTGAAAGCCAGAACCATCTCATTGGGTGGGACCAACTGCATACGTCGTTCACTCCTAACCACAAAAATTCAGGCAGGCAATCACAAAACTGCTATTACCTCACAAGTGACATTTTTTTCTCATCTCCTTACGTAGCCTCTTTGCTTCATAAAGGCAATACTCACCAGCTCAGGCTCTCTTCATGGGCCTTTACCAATATGGGGTTTGGAAAAGGAGTTATGAATGTAATTAGATCTTGCTTGATTGCATTACTTATGTCTCCACTATAAGACTTGGATCACTTGTTTTTGAACAAGTATTAACTTTTGTGACATCGTTCAAATATGGAGTCAGAAAGTAGCCACACAAGAATATAAGAAATGCACAGTTAAAGTCCATTTTATCACAGTCATCAGGGCCTAAAAAATATTATAACTAGACTGGAATATAGCTGACAACATTTCCAGTCACATTTCTGGCTAACTGCTGACAATTAAACTGCATTCTAAAGAATCGAAAACATTTCTGTTTAGAAATTAAAATCTAGATTATTTGCTTATTACAATTTTCACAATTGCCTTGCTATGAAATTATTCTTTTGCCACAAACAGAGAAAGTTTTGTTTATGTATCCATCCTATTTCGCTTTAGTGTGCTGGAATTGTTTTGTATTTGGAGGATACTGAGTAATACTTTTCATTCCAGCTAAGGAAACAAAAATCTGGGACTGAATAAATAATTGTGATCTTTTGCTCAGAGAAAGCATCTGGTGTCACAGACTTAATCAGTAAAATACTGAGAGTAATTCTATCAGCTCGGGTTTTAACATCCTGGAGTCTTTTACATTTAAAACATAAAATCAAACAGGTTTGTTTTTATAACATTTTCCAGCAGCTTATCCTTTAAAAAAAATCAAAGTTCTGCAATGGTTTTCTTCACGTCTCATTTATTTTCTCTTATTTAAAGGTTTGACTTTGAATCACACTCTAGGTAGATGTTGACTTTATCCAAGAAGGGTTTTGTTGAATCTGTATTTGTATTCCCATGGAACAACGTTATAGGGCCCAGGTTTAGTAGATGTTACTCCTTGCTGTTACTTGAGAAGGGGTATAATAATGAAATGTTATTTACTGTCTGCCTTCGGCATTGAGCTGAATGCTAAGTCAAAAATGTTGAAGGAAGATAATGAATCAAGATTCAATTTGGGGTATGCACAGACGACATATTTGGGGATTTAATTAATAATAAGACTCCCATTTAAATTACGACACACCTCTTTTGGTTCTGAGGAAGGGTCACTGGACCCGAAATGTTAACTCTGTTTTTTCCTTCACCGATGCTGCCAGACCTGCTGATCTTTTCCAGCAACTTTGTTTTTGAAATCAACAAGTAACATGGTCTAAAAAAAAGCTATCAGATTCTGACCTTCCTTCTTTGGATAAGATGTTCAATTCTATGTGCTGACTCTGGAGTGTGCCACAAGAGCAGACCAGCCTCCTTCCAGGTAACCCAAGCACCGCATTTATATCTCCTGTCTGCAGCAGGGTGTGTTCCAAGCAGTTTCTGTCCACAGAGTGCAATACCCTTTAGAAACAAAACACAGGGACAATAGAAAAAAAAGACAGACAATCAGCAGCGTTGACCGAGTTGCAATTTTAATTGGGTCCGTTACTAGGAATGTTGTAATATTCTGGGTAAAAATAATTTCTTATATATACACAAAAAGAATTTGATGAAGTACGAAAGATGTCTGTGATGGGAATAGAAAATCTCACCATTTTCAACACTTTGGTATATAGTTAATACTGAAAACAAATCAGTTTAGGTACAGGGCAAAGCTCCCCATGCATTAAACATATCCAATGGCAAGTACAAGCACAGGTTAGATATACAGTAAAACTCTTTTCAGTGCTTCAATACAGTAGTTTAAGCATAAGTGAAGTAATTTTGTATTCAAGAGAAGTTAGACGTACTAATAAAATTCATCACAATGCAGGGGACGTGGGTGTCGCTGGCAAGCTGCATTTGATGTTGTCCCTATTGCGCTTGAACTGACATTTCAGAAGGCATTTAAGAGTCAACACATTTCTCTGAGTTTGATTCAGATATAGGCTAGACCAGGTAAAGACAGCAGATTTCCTTTCCTAAAGAACTTGAGTGAAACAAATGGGCTTTTTATATAACAATGGTTACAAATGGTTGCCATTAGATAAACTTTTAATTCCAGATTTCCTTTTTAAACAAATTCAGATTTCCCCTTCTGTCATGATAGGATTCAAACAAATGTCCCCAGAACATTCACCTGTGCCTCTAGATTACTATTCCAGTGACATTACCACTGTGCCACCACTTCCTCAAGCTGTCTTAAGGTCTAAATCTGTTTTCTTTACTCATTACGTGGAAATATCTAGCCACTATTCTGTTCTCACACCTCAGCAATGTTTAAGTCCACTTCTCACTTTTTCAAGGCACCACACACACATTGTTCTTTGCACTATGTGAGGTAGAGTGGGCATCAATTCCAACTGTTCAATTATAAAGCAAGATAATATACTGTAGAACTGATTATTTTTATGAAAATATTGTTACCAAAATAGTAAAGATGGACAAATGAATTTTAACTTCCATCAACTGCTAATTATATCTGAGAGCAGTTAGACTAAAGTAGTAGACAAAAATGAAACAAAAATGGCTGCACTGGGTCACCAGACCACAGATTGAAGAGTAATTCAAGAGACTTGTGTGGAACAAATAAAACTGAATGCACTGAAATTACTATTCTAAACTAAAGCTATTGAAACCAAGCAACTGAGTCAGCTTCAAGAAATTCACATCTGTTTAATTCAGATGTCCATGGTAATTTCAAATATTGGGAGATGGAAGACCAACCTACCCAGTTAACCATTTGGAGCTAGGTTCTGGAATATACATTAAACTACTTTTCAACAGCTGCTTCTGAGCAGCAGGGCAAAAAGAAGGATAAATGAATTTGTGACAAGAGCTGTACCTCTAACTCTCATCAAATTAGAAAACAGAACCTGGTGGAAAAGCAACTTGGAGGAATAACCATTCACCAAGAACTCAAAACTTTTTAGACATTCCGTTACTGATACAGAAACAAGTCAATAACTAACTAACCCTAGCCTCAGGTTTGAATCTAATACCTCAATGACACCAAGGGCTTTTAAACTGCATAACTTGGTTCTTCCAGTATATATCACTCTGCTTTTTAAATTTATTGTTCATGCTTATATGTATGTTGAAATGTCACATTTTACTATTGTTTCCTTGGGGTTAGTCAATAATAAAATTCTTCTTTCTTTTGCTCAAGAAAACCTTGTAATTGGTTCATTCATTTAGACCTAATTAATTACATCTTATGACAAATGAATAAAAGAAAATAAAAACATTTGTTGCAACTGACTGAAGGGAGGGGTTACTCTTCACCTTGTCATAACAATAGTCGGTCTGTGAAAGTCTTATTACCACAAAAATATCCAATTTCAGAAAAGTATGTCAGGATACAAAACTCAAGTGAAATCACCATTGTCATACCACACCATACTTTCTCATCAGAGAGAGACAGCTGGTGGTGGCTTAACCTAAGGGTCACCAGGTGAGAAGAGAGGCTGCAAAGGAGTCTCTCTTTGTAACTTCACCTGATACGGAAAACAAAATTACTGCACAACTTTAAATGTTGTGCAAACCCCACTTCTCTGTAAAATACTGAGAGTGTTAACAATCGGTTGTTTCCATGATTTTGTCAAAATGCTTTGTTGTCTTACTTGACTTCCCTTATTTCCAGGCTTCCAAAGGCCACACACAGGATGTTCACAGCATCTGGAATGGGGATCAGTTCAATTATAGGAACCTGCAAGAGTGGGGAAGTGGAAATCACATCAAGACAAAATCAAATAATTTTTTTTAAAAATCGCAGGAGGGTCCTGTTCACTGCCACCAGTCATAACAACCATGATCATTTGTTTTAGCACACTTCTTGCTTAGCTTCGATTCAAAAACACAATATGAACTGTATATGAAGCCAAAGTTGAACAGTTGCCAATTGACTACTGAATATAACCAACTGGTATAGCTGTCAACTTGCATCGGGACATCAGTGATTTGTGATGCAAAACCAGATTGGAGTATTTATTTGATTTGAGACTCAGGTAAGTTCCTGATTACAGCCTTATCACATACGGGCTTCTGCTGGGCACATCCCTACCAATCTCCCACAAACATAAGAGGATGAGGTGGTAGAAAAGGTAAAGGTACTTGATCCCTGGCCTGCTTTTGTCTGTCATGTATCAGCTGATTCAGTGGTTCAGATTAGGGGAAGGCAATACATCCCTCTCCCCTGCCATATTAATCTCTTGTCTCGGGATTTAAGGTTAGAATTTTCTTTTTTTAAATCCATATGTACAATGGTTAATATCCCTGAAGGATCCTGTTGTGGGAACATGGAATTGAGACTTCTCCCAACCTCAGGGTAAAGGAATTCAGGTACATAGGGCAAATCCAGGAGGATCTTTGGGGATGAGGGGAGGAGAACAGAGAGGCAACTGGTACAGTGGTGTTATTTTTCAGCTTGTAGCACCAATACTGTTTCTTTTGAAACACGTCATTCCAACCTTTTCCCATTCTAAGTGGAAGACCGTTATTAGCTGGTTCTGTATGTATGTTTGCACAGACATTAGAAAACAGATTAATAAGGCTTTAAACTTTGCAATTTTGACAAGGCATGCACAATTCTGACAGAATTTAAAGTAAAGTAATTGATTTAAACACCTATTTTAACACCGTTCAATGTAAATTATTTAGCACTGAATACTAGATTGTCAGATCAGAGTTAAGGCAATGCACAAAAAGAACTGGCATCCTTACTTTATCAAAGACCCACATATGGATATTAGTCCACTGGTTTAGCTGTTGTGGGGCCCACAAGAACACTGCTGTTTCACAAGCACAGGCAATGCATGACATTTTGGCCTCTTTCACCATCCAGAATACTGTACATAAGTCAATAATGCAGGAGGTTGATGGATTCTAAGAATACAAATGAGAAAATCATTTAGACTCCAAATATGAATACAAAGAGAATTTGCTATTGAAGAGCAACTCTACTTCACAACAGTAACCACGGCTGCTCCACAGGACAAGTTTTCTCAATTATGAGCCTCTTCCAACAGTGTACATATTGTGAAATCACAGATCTCCCTGACAGATGTGCACATTCATAAAAGCAGCCTCTATATCTGAGGGTCATGCTTAAAAGTAGGCATAAATTTGCCTTTTTGAAGGACCAAATGTTCGCATTTCCTATTTAAAAAGAAAACAATTGTTCCTCCTCCATTACAATGGCTACTTCCTGGGATTTTGTTCAACAAAACAGAAAAACGTTTACAGTACTTAAACTGCAAGAAGGGCAATGTAGGACTCCTGAAGAATGTAGACAAGTTTGTGGAATGGGAAGATTGGTGGCAAATGGGGTTCATTGCAGAAAAGTGTGAAGTGATGCATTTTGACAGGAAGAACACTAAAAGACAAAATGGGGGAGGGTGGAGTACAATTCTAAAAGAGGTGCAGGAGTAAAGGAACCTAGGTGTATGTGTGTACAGATCACTGAAGGTGGCAGACTAGGTTGAGAGAGCAATTAATAAAGTGTACAGTATCAGATTTTATTCATAGGTCCATTGAGTACAAGGCAAAGGAGATGATTTTGAAATTTTGTAAGACAATTGTTAGATCTCATCTGGAGTACTGTGTACAGCTTTTAGCGCTACATTTACAGGAAGGATGTGAATGCACTGGGGACAGTGCAGAAGCGATTTACAAGAATGGTTCCAGGATGCAAGCAATACAAGGATAAATTGAAGAAGTTGGGACTGTTCTCCTTGGAAGGAAGAAATCTAAGAGGAGATCTGGTAGAGGT